ACTCCTCCTTCTTTCTCCACTTTACTCCTCTACTGTCTACATAATATCCTAATCCTTGCCTTCTCGCCTTTTTCTTCTCCTTTTTCACACCTTCCTCCAATCCATTAGAATTAACTACTAAATTCGCTAATCCTAATTCTTCACCTTCTAAACTCTCTCCTTCACCTTCCTGCTGAACAGCATCAATGTCTATATACTCATTATTCTCACTGTCCCCCCCTGCAAGTTTAAGTATATATAAGTATATATATAGACAACTCTGATTTGCTGTTGATTTTTTAGTACGTATGGTATAGACGTTTCAATAGAAACATCCGGAAATTTCTAGCGTAGATCTCATAATTATGCTAATTCGAGTTACTTTTTTTACATTTTACCAGAGTTACATATCTTCTCGTATAAATCGAATTGTAATACATCTCACATTGTATTTAATATTGCGTCTCTGTCATCTCACTTGATAAAGAAAATTGCGCTTTTTTCACGAAGAAGCATATCTTGCCATTACGGTCGACTATTTACCCGCTTAAAACTATATGGGGTTTGCAGAAATTTGGCCTCAGATTAATTTACTCTTTTTTATCCTACGAACGTATACTTACTTTAATTAAATTATTTACAGATAAATTTATTATTAATTATACTAATTAAAATTTGCTTTTCGCGCGAACGAAAATAAAGAAATAAATATACTTTACGACAATCATACTTCAAAATGTTTATATGACAACACTTGTCTCAGAACAGGCTTGGTACAATGTCATACCCCGATATGTAATGTTCTACATATGATTATTTGTTATAATTATTGGTATACTCAAAATCTATCTGCTAATAAAAACGCTTGATTTTAGCGCATTATGTGAGCTATAATGCTGTAATAGCTTACCTAAATTTCTATGTTCAATTGTGCTAACATGTAATTGGTCTTACCGCCGCCAAACGGAACATTGATAGCAAATTAAAAGCATTGCAATGTGTAAATAAAAATATAACTATATTCGACATAATATTAGACATCAATTATAAGAAAAATAATCCATATTTTAAATGCTAACTATGTGAAGAGCGAAGTATTTTAACTTATTTTTCGCTTTAGTTAATTTAATATGGTAAACCATTGAATAAAATTAGTATACTACTGTTTTATTTAAATCTTGAGTCACTAAAATTATGAGATAATCGGCGATGTTAATATTTTATTAATATCACAAACGTAACAAATTGCTTTCGTCATATATGCGGCTGAATCTTAATCATAGTTATTTCTCAGTTTTGGCTTTGATAGATAGTAAACCATGCGCTGTCCTCGTCAAGTACAAGCTCTTAATAAAACTTTGCAAAATATCCGTTAAACGTACCTGCATCAGGACGCTTATCAAAATCAGCATCACAACATCATTCAGCAATTCTCTTGTATTCCTCCAGTACGGACTCAGGCATCGATGGTCGTAGTCTGCCCATGATATCACATACTAATCTCTACCAAACTGACTATTTTTAAAAGGCTAGTTCGCCGATAGTAATAGCAATCAAATACATTATGATGCCAAAAAATACACGTCTGACTTCTTCGTAAATTTGCGGGTGCGGAAGACTTCCGGTGCAATACGCCTCGAATAGTTGGGCTTAATATTGACTTGTGTAACTTCACCGATCGAGAAAGGCCAGGATCACAAATCATAGGAGAATCTGTAACAAAAGAATGTTCACACCATGAAAATTACATTGTACTAATCTCAACAATGAATAGAATTCAGTTCGTTTGAAATATCCTCATAAACACATGAATTACTCCGCCACGCAATTTGTTTATATTTTGATCCAAATGAGACCAAAGATTACCACTATAACCACATCCGATAACATCATGTACTCGCTTGTTTCTGGGACTTGTGTGACTCCATAAATGAAATGGCAAGTATCCAATAATTACACTTGGCATGATTTCTGAACTGTTAAATAAAATAAATACAATGTCAGTTAAATAATAATTCTAATTAATACTACAATTATAACTTACTTCGGAAATAAATAATTCATCTGTCTCATTAAAACGCTTATACTGTTTGAGTACAATAGTTTTATCCATATATTCTACTTTTAAATATTTTCTATATTTGCCAGTATAAACTGTTCCATAACCACCGGATTCGAATTCTTTGAGTTCATAAAGTCAACATATTGCAAGTACTTAACAGTAGTGTTAAGCTGTATAAACTTGTCCACTATTGCATGTACGTCGTGGTAGAACACTAAATAGTATTCCCAAGTGGACGGTTTCTGGGTGATTTCGATTATCCAAATATTGATATCTCTGGGTATTCCTTGGTTAGCTATAAAAAATACAATTGTTACAACAGTAAACGATGTGTTAATACACGATACGCATTATTAATTTGCATTGTTTAAGTACCCGATGAAAATCAAACGATTGATCATTTCCTTCATCAAACTATCTTTTTGAGCGTCATGCGTGCAATCCGATTTTTGGTTCCAATAGCTAACCAATCCGCCACAAGTGTACATCCGTGGCGTAATAATGGCATCTCTTGTACGTTTGATAACAGGAAGTATCCGATCCAGTGTATGTAGGCAACGTCCATACTGGTCGTATTATGCCATGGTTGTGGCCACGAAGCGCTTTCAATTCCCCGATTTACACCTAGTGACAGCGTCCCTTCAGATACAACCTACTTTACAAATACTCAGTGAAAATTCTCACCTTATACGGGGTATAAACCCCTCTTTTTGTAAAAGATCTATAATCTTTTTTCAACTTGTTATAGAATCTGAGACTAATATCCATGTTCAGTGAGTAACGACCAGTGAGGTGGGGCGATGCGATGTGGGTGAATCAAGTCGTCGATTGCTTGGTTTGAAATAATAGTAGGAGACTGGCTGTCCCCTGGAAAGTCGAAACCCCGAATATACACACACACACACACATCAAATCAAAATCTCCAACTCAATCAAGGAACGCAGCTATTAAAGCATTACCCGAAGAAGAACTCATGAAAACAGCTGAAACAACAAAAGATGTTGCTAAAAAAAGACTCCACACGAAAGACAAAAGTAAGCGACATTGCATAACAAATGTTGTCTAATTCAACTAACAATACGGACGAACCAGAATCTTCCGTCAATGTCGATTCTGATGCGGATTACGAAGAAATCATTAATGATAACACTGACGATGAAAATCAACCCAAATACGGAAAAACGAAACACAAGGAGCATCACATCAATAGGCAAACGTATAACAAAAAAAATAAATATTTGTTGAAATATTAACATTTATAATTAATAAATAAACATAAACCAAACGTCGAATAACAAAATAATAATTTTTCCAACTTTTAATTAAGAGATTCTGTGTAAAAACCAAACTGTTGTAATGTCAAAAAAAAAATTACAACATTGTAGCTCTTACATTCCGAAAAGTTATTTCCCATCTGCCCGCCAACGGCAAGCAGGCTACACCCTCACTTACTAATTAATACTAATTTAATAAATTAATTATCTCAGCCAAGAGCTTATCATTCAGTTCTCTCAATGAATCGATTGTCTGACATTGTTTATACAAAGTACGGATATGTTCAAAAGTTTATTAAAAGTCCTCGAACTATGACTTATTCTGTCATGCCGCATATAAGGTCTCATGGTTCCACAATCGTGCTGAATATACAGATGACTAAAAGATATCACTTCGATTTATCCGTAAGACATATCCGAACCGGGGAAAGATAAAATCCAAGTATTTCGCAAACATGTTAATCATTCCCAACCAGTATGCGAGATGTGGCGCCGATTTGAAAAGCAAGCAACCTTAGGATGGGTAATTACCTCTCCTAGAATTAATAGTAATAGTAATAGATGACGAACCAATAATGATGATTTGGATACACATGACTGTTAATTACGTAATATTGTGCCAAGTGATGTGATAAAAATGTTGATCGCTCTGATTTCTGCCACATATATTGTGCATTCGACACTCTACTCTTCCAAAATGTCTGTTTTAAACTCTGGTTGGCAATCAACTGTAAAGAAAATTGGAAATAAAGTTGACAGAATAGTCCATAACTATCCCAGGTTACCAAAATTTCCTTTAGGAGATGAAAAGTGAGTGTGACCCACATAGTAATAGGTTTTTTTTTTAAGTTCTGCTCAATATTGTTGACCCGTATGGTCTGCAGTTTGCCATTTCAGATTGGAAAGAACGTTTCAGTGAAAAATTATAATAGTTTTCTTGACCGAAGCGAATCATCCGGGTACAAATTTCGTTGGGAAAACGGAAACGTATATATTATTGAAATGGCAAATGGGCAACATGAAGCTATTGTATCATATCTTTTTAAATGTTTTGATGAACCAAATAATGGTGTAAAACGTGGCCCGATCAAAGTTTGGGGTCAACCATGTAAGAGATTTCTATTTAGTTTGCTTTGTCTTGGCTTGTAATAACAATCACAATTTTTCTTACAGATCATTATGATCCAACCGCCAATGGCGAGAAAATAGCACCAGACATGGCAGTTTGTGGAAGCAATGCTTATCTTCAGCCACCATCAAGACTGCATTGTGTCCCCCCTCCCGGTGACGCAAAAGTACATTAAGTTGATACTTTATTATTATATTTACTTTTAATCCAATTAATAATGTATTTACGTAGGGCAATCCTCATGCGAGAGTCATCTGCGAGGTAGCTAAGGCTCAAAATATCATTTCCTGGAATACCAAATGTGAGGCGTGGATGCATCAAAGTTATGTACGCTGTGTCCTTGGCATAAAGCTTTTTCCCAAAATATATGTGGGAAGAACTGTTCATCAAGAGATGATTGTATGTCCTTACGTCTAATATTTCTTTATTACTCGATTAGCTTCATATCTAAACAGTTTTGTTTTAATATTAGGCAAGATTATGGACGCGTGTTGCATTGCCAGGGAGTGTATTATCAGCAGATGCGACCTTAGCAACAGCAGGAGTACACGTGACAGAGGTAAGATTGATCTACTACTACTGATCAAATGTCAAAAGGCTAAAGTGACTTTTGCAATACTATAGTGGGATTTCAGCATGATACACCTTAATACACATGTACTCTCTGGCTGTACCGCTCCAAATCTTAATGCTTTTCGAATAACCATTCCTATCACAGACGTTTTTTGGGACCCCCCAATTGTTGGGGGAGTTCCTACGCCATTTGCAGTATTAGTTCCAGGTACAGTTGTCGGGATCAATTTTGTGATTGATCTATTTGACATTCAACAGGAAGCTTTAGATGCAAAGTAAAGAATGGTACATTCATTGTTTATTATACATTTAATCAAAATATTACGAGATTTGTGAGTAATTCCATGCTTATTGTCAAAGGATGAACATAAAGTTTACAGCTCGCTTTATAGCGCGGTTTATAGATTACGAAATATACAAGTAACATTAGTGAATACGAAATTTGCTTACTTATTGTTAATGTGAAAAAAAAATTAGTCAAACGTTATTTTGATACGTTTGGTTGAATTGAATCTCGTACACACACGACGTGGATCGTAATAAGAAAAAAATTAAAATTTAACACTCAAAGTCTACTGGATTATGTTCTACCAAGTTTTATTATTACTTCGTGCATGTCTATATTAACCTGGGGTGTATCAATATTTGAGTGTCACCTCATTGACTAGTATATAGGTTGTTATTATGTAAACTGTAAAACACAAATCTTATAGAAAGGTTTTTTAATCTCGCAAGAACCCTGAATAAATTGTAGTCGAGTCCCCGCGTTTTTGAACATTAAGCTCCCTTCGCCACACTAAACAATCTACTATTTTTAAAGATGGTGCCTTAATCATCCAGGCCGCAATCCGATCACTGCCTAATAGGCCTTCGACAAAACGATTCAATTGAACGATTCTAAGGCATTCTGGCAATCTCTATGCGTTCGAGTCAG